GTACTGTTCACCATGTAAGAATTTATTCACTATGTAAGAATTCGTTCACCATGTAAGAACTTGTTCATTATGCTTCAGAAGATTGGAGACTGACAAGAATTAGGCTTGAGATGGATTAATGATTGTGCATTGAGCATTGACCCCCCTATACAGAATTTTATTGTTGTTAACAACCATTTGATCAATTAATATGATAGATGCCCTCTCAAAAAAAAGAAAATACAATGTGTGCATTGTAGTACATTACAAAAAAATTAAAATCCTCACTTTCCCAACAAAAAAAAAAAAAAGGATTCATAATTTCAGATTCATAATTCTCCTGTAAGTCAGGACTGCTATTTCAAGGCAGTTTCTAGACTACATCTTGATTAGTCAAACTTGGTTGGTATTCTTGACAATAATCAGTTAAGCAAAGAACCAAACCTATGCTGTGCAGTATGACAGCTGTTAGCCACACACAGCAACTCGGCACTTGAGATGTTGCTGGTCAAAACTGAAATGAACTACAAATATAAACTAGACACCTAATTTAGAAGCCTTTCCTACAAAAAAAAAAAAGAATGTAAATTATCGTAACTTTTTATATTGATTACATGGTAAAATCATATTTTAGATATATTGGTTTAAATAAAATATACTTTCAAAATTAATTTCACTTGTTCCTTTTCACTTTAATATGGCCATTAGAAATTTAAAATGACATGTGGCTCACATTTGTGGCTTGCATTATACTTCTCTGTCCGACAGGGTAGGCAACCAAAATAAAACACCACTGTATCAAACACACTTCTGAACAAATGGGTTGCTGAACATTTCAAATGTGAACAGAAGAATGAAGAAGGGTAACACTATCCAGGCATTTGAGCACATGCACAGCAACAGCAGTGGTTACAGCTATTATGTTGTTTTAAGTAAGAAGCATAAATAACGAACATTCTGGAAAGGAGATGTAATTGCAGGTTCTCTTTCCCCCCTGCCTCCCGGAGACTCTCCTCCTGGGCTGGTTCACTCTGCTGCCTACCTTTGATGAGCTCCGGCCTGTATGTCTTGCGCAGTTGCTCCAGGAAGCTGTTGTAGAAGCTCTCTGCCTGCTCCGTGGGCATTGCCAGGTGGAAGTCAGGCTTGTTCCCCTTCAGGACACACTGGAGGGTGAACTGGCTGACACACAGCACCTCATACTGCTTGTCCATCACACTCTTCGACCAGTGTTTCCCACCCTCATCCTCAAAAACACGCAGGTTTAAAATCTTTCGGACCCTAAAGGGTAAAACGGCAGTGAAAGCTACTTGAAGAATCACAAGCCCCGCAACACACTCCATACCCTCAAAATGTCAGCATCCTGCCGAAAACATACTGGCTCCATCAGTTATAGGAGGTGTGACTTTGGGCAAGTTACTTATCTTCTCTATGCCTCAGTTTCCCCATCTATTACAGTCCTACCTCAGAGGTTTCTTCTGGTATTTCCCTTTTTTGCCATTCCCTCTAATTCACAGCTACCTGCAGGAACTGGAGCTAAGACGACAACCACCATTATCTGCTCCCTCAAGTTGGTGGATATGTCGAAACATGCATCTAATGTTAATTATTAACCAAAGAATTCAACCTTTACACTGGGGTAAATGAGACCCTATTTTTGCAGCCTTTCTTGGAGCTATTCAAAATGAACAATTTGGCAAATACTCTGGAGAAAACTCATGGTTAATGCATATCTGTAAAAAGATCTGGGGAAAGTACTTTGACAACTATGGCACATGTTCCTCAAGCCCTAGAGGGGCTTTCCCTACACATGGGGATGGCAAAGGACAGCCACCTTGGCAAGGAAGAGAACCGAGTTAAAACTGATAGGGTGAGACTGGAGGAGCCTGGCAAAGAACTGCCTGCATCAAAGGTGAAATGTCACCATTGAGAAGCACCTTTTTGGATGATGTTGAGGACATGTTTAAGGGCTCTACCAGCACTAACTCACTGACCCCATATGGTACTCTTTGTGGTGGACACTATTCACCACCTCCTCTCCACAGCTCAAGTTTGTCTCATTTTGAATCATGTCTCTTAACCACCAAGTATTAGCTCTTTATAATGTCAGAGCCATAAGGAAATTGAGACCACTACACCACTCTGCTGCCTCTTTTGGGGATAGCTATTAAAATACTAACATCCCTGAAGTGGTACTGAACTGTCCTTATCTATCAACAGCACCTTAGCAGGAATTTCGGTTCCAAGTCCGATTTTCAACTTAATACAAAATGGACAATTGGGCAGTGTTACACCCAAGATCTGGGCACCAAGGGGCAGAATGAATACACCCAAGCATCTGAAGTAATGTGCCCAGTAGTGCTGAGGGGGAAGGTGAACATGTGTAGGGGGTGGGCTGCCTGTACCAAGAGAGCCAGGCAAGCAGCAGCAATGACAAAGTCCCCTGCCATAGTAAAAGGAACACCAACTTCCAGTCAGGTAGCCTAGATTCTAAGTGAGATTCAGACTTTTTGCTAAGCACATGTACGTGACCTTTTAAACAGGGAATGTAACCTCTCTGAGCTCCAGAGCCTTTTGTGTGCAATGAACAACTAGGCATTGTAAAATGTGTAAACAGTACCCAGATCATACTGCTCAAATTAAAAACAGAAAATCATTCATAAGAAAAGAGGTTTGGTTTCCGCATCAAGAAAATGGTTCATGGATATAGTAGCACATAGGAATGGAGGCTAATTGGGCTCCCACTCTGTTGCTGACTGAGTGGGTGACATTTGACAGAGTACTCTTCCTTGGTGTCCGAATCTGAAACATGGAGATAACCATATTACATCGAATGGGACATGGATAAAAGTGATAGATGCTCACTTTATAGGAACAAAGTACTATGAAAGTTCCCAATACACATATGACTCAGAGAGAACCACTGCATACACCAAATAGCAATGACTTAGAAATCCACATCTTACATGTGCTCCAGTTCCTTCTGTGTATCTTCCAAAGAAACACCCAGCAACACACAGATGCCCCGTCCAATGGCACTTATCTGCTCTCCTCCAACTAGACAGGAAAAAAAAGGGAAAAAAGACTCAGAACTAAACAGGTGTCATGAAGCACTTTTAAGCAACCAGAAGAATGTTTAAAACACTACACATACTTCTTAACAATTTCTTTGACAAAGTTAGCAGGTATTCAAAAATGAAAGGAGTTACAGAAATGCAGTGAGACTATTATAATTTATGTGCATTCTGATTTTATATCTGGAAGGAATGAGTTAAGTGAAAAACTATTAAGCAGGATTTTAGGGCCACATTTCCATCTGCATTTCCTTGCCTAGACACCTCAGACTTTCTGTGATACAGTTTGTCCATCTGTAAAACCAGAACAGTTTTCCTGCCCAGAGAATTCAGCTCAGCTAAATTAATTCTCAGAGATGCCTGCTTTTCGTGGAAATCAGCAAATCTGATAATACAACATACAGCACAAAATAGAAAACATGTCATAGAAAACAAAGAAATGATTTTCCTACTTATTACAGAGGAGATAAATATATATATATAAACCATGGTTTAAAAGTTAATCTTCAAGTCAGCAAAATTCCATATTTTCCAGTTAGTACTAAGGTACATTCATTCTAAGCCAATGAATCTCCAAGCCTTTTTCAGTCATGTACCTCATTCATTAAAAAAAAAAAAAAAGATCTCTATTTTAGGAAGAACAGATCTCGAGATGAGTTACACTTACTAGTCTTTACGTTCAGCGTAAGATGCACAAATATTTCTCCTTTTTAAAAACACTTCCTTCATGCTGAAATTTTTTGAGTCAACATGCTTTCATTATTCTTCATAACAGGATTCCTAAGAGAATTCTAGACATGTTCTCTAGACATCTAGACATGTTCTCTTCACTTCACCTTTGACTCAGAAATTGTTCTCTATTTCATCCCAAGGAAACAGTGGAGAGATGCATACAAAGAGTTATGTATCAGGATGCTCAAGTTAGAACCTTGTTACAAAAACAAAAATTGGAAAAATCTAACTCACCAAAAAAAAAAATCTCTGAGCACATATCATATTATAAATACTTGTGCATGTATTATAGTCAAAAGTATGCTCTACTAGCATTAGACAATATCTCAGTGCTGCACAGCACTTAGGCCAAGACTCATTGTCATGACAGTGACTCTAAATCCATATTTCAAATATTAGTTTTCAGAATTTTCAACTTTTTAGCCAACTTTTTGCCAAACCTCATAAGATTACTGATGTTTTGTTATTTTATCATGAATTGACCTAATGTTCCAATCAGGAAAAGGGTTAACTCTGCCATTTTCTTGTTGTTTGTCTCTGCTAGATAGTATCTATAAATATACCTGACAAGGCATAATAGACTGTATCATATTGCAGTATCTCCCAAGCTAAGGAAAGAATGAGAAACCTCCCTCCTCCTTCAGGTATCTGACAAGAAACCACCTGGTATTCAGACCCATTCCTGAAATATACCAGGAAAGCTTATTTCTTTTATTTTTATAAAGAACAAATAATTTTAACATTTTCTTCTGCACTGCTTTTCTTATAATGGACTATGAGTGATTTCCTATCCTGTGAGCCATTAACTAAAAAGCTGAAACAGAAATAATCTGTCCTGACACAAGCAGTAAACAACTGGAGTTGTCAGCTCATTTGTTGTTTTAGAAAAAAGCCTTTGGCTTCATTTGTTCTTTAAATAAATCAGCATTATTTTCTTACAATGTCAATATACATTTTAAATTTTCTCCAAAGTATGTTCTAAAAGCTTAAAAAATAATGATCATTAGCTATATCAACCACTACAGTCATACACATGCATTACAGAAAATATGGAAAATATAAAAAACAGGGAGGAAAAAAGAACACCTACAGACAAGCACCTCAATATTTTATTTCCTTATGCTATTTTCTCTATTCTTAGGTTTTACTGCCTATTTGCTTTTGATTACTATAACAGCATCATATAAATTGTTGTATCTCATCTTTTCTTCTAACATTGCATAAGGATTTTTCCGTTACAAGCTCTTCCTAAACATCTCTTATACTTGCCTCCCATCAAACAGAATAGTTGCATTCCATGCAGTAAGTTATCTCACCTAGCTCGATATACCACTTGGTTCAAAAACTTCACTTTATTAACACTGTAGTGGAAATCTTTGTACACTAAGGCTTTTTTTAAAATAGACTTTTCATTTCAGAGGACTTTTAGGTTCAAAGCAAAATTGAGCAGAAAATACAGACTCCTCACATTCCCACTAACCCAACATACATGCACAGCCTCCCTATTATCAACATCTCCTAACACAGGGGCACATTTGTTACAACTGATGAACCTATACTGACATATCACTCGAAGTCCATAGTGTACATTAGGGTTCACTTTCATTCCTGGTGTTATGTACACTTGTCCAAACCCATAACACAGTAGAGATTTGGACAAATGTATAATGACATGTATCCACAACTTACAGTATCATACCGAATAGTTCCACAGCCCTAAAAATCCTCTCTGCTCTGCCTATTCATCCCTCTGAAGCTTTCTATAAAGATTACCTTCTTGGAATAGATTCTCAAAAGTAGACTATTTCAAGTGATTAAAATCACTATTTGAAGAGTTTCAACATTTTTATAATGTACTATTATTGTCTTAATAAGAAACAAATTACGTCCCCACACCTGTGACAGTTTGCTCTCTTCTTTTGGAGTTCAGCCCCTCCTCCAGGGACAAGTAGGAGAATCAGGAGGTTCAATAGGATATTTGGTTACAGACAAATGAATTCCCAAGACAAAAAAAACTTGAGAATCAGCATTTTAGATGAAAGATCACAGGGCTAGAAAAGACCTGGATATTTGGTCAATTTCTCCATGTATACTGGCATCACTCAAAACCTAGACCTCTTCAAGAATTCATAACCCCTCAAATTAATCCCTTCAAACTCAGCCATATCAGATCCTCTTCCCAACATTCTGTGATTCTATTCAGCTTTCACCTGCTGAAACTGAGTGATGGGACATGGGGTTATTGTACTATTCCACCTGTATAACAACATGAGGAAGTTTGAAATGTTCCATAATGAGGCTTTCGAAATTAGATTATCACAATAACCATGCTAAGGCATCAAAATGTGCCGGACCAATCTCATAGAGTCAGTCTGTCACACTAGATGTGACTCCTAATATTCTACTCTGCCCCAACCATAAAATTAGAACTGACATTTGAGAATCCCTGAAATAAAATGTCATTCACATATAGCCACATTTTAGTGGCCAGTCACATTCTAAAGAATCAGAAAAATCTCTTGCCATTACGATTCAACTAGAAGGCCTGGCTAACTTGAAGTCCCCTCCAGTACTGAGACAGAATACCATTTTATTAACAACTTCCCACAATTAACACTCTCATCTTTTGTGAAAAAAGTTTTTATAAAAAGCATACAATTTAAACAGTAAATGCACAACACAAACAACTCAGCAAATCTCAGAATACTTTCAGTCATCTCACAGAATGTTTTCAATATTCCCCATCAGCAGAATGCAGAGTTCAAGAGATTAAAACTAAAATTCTCCAGAGTTGACTCACTGTTGGTGATGACCACACAGAGCCAACTGCAAGATTCTTCTCAAAAAAAGCAAAAATATCTTCATCTACAAATTTTCCGTTTTAGTGAGCTTAAATAGTAACTGAAATGTTAAAAACACCATTGTTTTAAAAAATTCCATAAATCCCAATACTATGCTATTCCCTCCAACTCCTTAACCGTATCCAAAACCAGTTAACAGAACAGCTTAAAAATAATGAGGCAAGATTGAAAAGTAGAACCTCAGATCTAAAATATATGGTTATGCTGGGGTTGGTTGTTTTCTCAGGGGCTTTTGTTTTGTTTTTAAATGTATACTTTTGTGCCCACAAGAACATGTATTTGGTGTGGACTAGCTTGAAGAAAAGGTTATCTGGAATTACTTGGGCTGAAACAATAATTCTGCCAATAAAAACAGAAGACTAGAAAACAATCTAAAATTAGTCAATCTAAATTTTTTAATACATCTTTATTATCTTGGTTTGAGTTTTTAAAACGACTACCTTATACACATTAATCATCTGGACCCCTGATGCTCAAACTAGACTAGTGATCAAGTGATGACTAATGGTTGAGCCACAAGAAAGTGATGGAAAAGAGCAATATCTCATCCTGAATTTAGACTCCGACTCCATCCCTGCAGGATGCGGCACTGAGAAAAGGGCTTCCGGGTTCGCTGGTCACGTGGGTGTTCGCAACTGTCAGAACTCATCCATATGAACGACTCTTCACTTTGTGCTTTTTATTAGGAGTCAAGCTCCATAGAAACTGGGCATGTAGGAAATGGGCAAAAGGGGCAAATTTGAAAGAAAGCGTTGAAAAGGGGGAGCTCCTGCTCTGGAAATGTTGTTTGTGCAACATTCCACTGAAGAACGGGTCATAGGATGCTCGAAGGTTCTGCCGCCCTGTACTCAGGACAAAAAAAAAAAAATGAGGATGTTAATAAGAAGGCGTGTTTATCGTGAATTCAAAGTGGAGACCCTGAAACCAGAGCTGCGCCGGGGCCCGCTAGGCACATGGACGGCGCTCTGCGGACCCGTAGCGCCCGGTGCCGGCCTGGGGACTCAGGGTTGCCGGGCCGGGCTCGCGCAGGGGCCCCGGGAACTACGCAGGAACCCTCGCAGGGTGGCCAGGGACTGCCCAGCGCGGGGTCAGGGGCAGCTCCTCCCGGCCCCGCCCCGCCCCGCCCGTCCCCCGACTGACCTGTGACGCTGGCCCGGGTGACGCGCTGCACCACGGCCTTCATGGCGGCGGCTGGGGCGAACGGGCGGTGCCGCGCTGCTTCCGGCCTCGCGACTCTGTGGGCGGCTCGGCAGCCGGCGCCCTCTGCGGCGACACCAGGAAGCGCGGCGGCCGCGGGTCGACCCGGTTACCGACAGCCCGCCCACGTCGGCCACACCCGCCCATAGGTTGGTAACGCCCACGTCAGTTACGCCCACCTGCGGCCTAACTGTAGCTGCGCCTGCCCGACGATAGGCTCCGCCCGACCGACCATAGGCCCCGCCCTCTCTGGGTTACTCTTCTTCCCGGTTACGCCCCCCGTCCCACCCAGAGCCAGATCCCAATAGAACCTTCGGATCGTCCGGCCCCCGGCCAGCCTCAATTCCGCCCAGACCGCCGTTTCCGCCCCGGGGTCTTCTCACATCCCCGGTTTAAGAGCCAGCCATCCCTAACTTCCACTTTTGTCCTTTTAATTGTGTTCTAGTTTCCACTTTTCCACGTCTGATCCTCCTAGATTACTTTTCCCTCGTCTTCCTGCCTCAGTGGCATCTCAGAAACCCTTAGAATAGGATCTGCTGCCTGAAATAGCCATTTACCTATTTAAGTACTCATTTGACAGCCATGCCGATTATGCAGATATGATTTTGTAATTCTAATTCCTCCTGTACTTCGCCAACCCACCCTACCCCTCTGGGCTGTTGGAAGATTTAAATGAAATAAGCTATGTAAAAGGACTGAAAAGCTGCAAAGGACTGCGCAAGTATTAGCCTAGCGGATTACCATCGCTAAAAATAAGTCCCTGTCCCTGCAAGCAGTGGGGCCGACCTGCGGCCCCTATACTCCCAGGAGCCTGCAGGCGACCACGCGGCCATCCCGTCCTCGCTGCCTGGTGATGGGCCCAAGGTACACCAACACTGTTGTGCCCGGGTAGAATTCGTACACCAACGTCACAATTTTATTGACAGATGTACAGGTATCCGCCGCTTTCCAAAAGTTCGTCTGGCCACTTTACTTTAATGAAAGGCCTAATCAGTTTGTTTTCTCCAGACCAGAGAAACCCACTCAGCGTTTCTCTTACGGCATACTCTGGTTTATGCCATTGCTGCTTAGGAAAGGTTTCATAGGAATGTTCTAGTTTTGGATGTTAGGGGAAACCTGTACAAACCTTTTGTTCTTGCCGTGTGTGCAGTTAAAATTGAAAGCTTATTTTTTATCACAAGCACTTTTCAAGTGAAAAATCTTGAAAAACGTGTTTATTGGTCATGAAAATCATGTGTGAGTTATGTTTGTTACGTAACATGGAGCTCTCAAAGAATAGTGTGTTTTAATTACTAGTGCTTTGACTTTATTATGTTTAGGTCAAGATATGTAATACCTGTTTATCTCATTCTAAGAAGTTATTTAAACCTTGGAGATACCCAGCAAATCGTGCCTCTACTAAGACTACTCACTGAAGCACCTGTGACCCCCTGGTGGCCTGTGCTCCCACACCCTTTCATGTGGAAGCAGACAGTGCTGTTTTCCACCTGGACAGAAGTTTAATAAAGTAACTGATATTTACAGAAGAAAAAAAAGTCCCTCTCGGTGTGTCTTCCTAACATCTTCCAGCTGTTATGTGTGGGTGTAGAGCAATGGAGCTCAGGACTCACTACCCCAAACTATGGCACCCTGGCATCTTGAATATATGAGCTAAAGGAGTTTGAGAACTGCAGAAGCAGGAAGGTCACCCTGAGGTTCTAGAGGTAGAAATTCACCTACTAGAACTGAAAAACTTTATTAGGGCACTGTCCCCCAACAGGCTCCAGAATACTGTGCTGGGCTTTGAACAGTCTGTTCAAAGATTCTTATTACACGGAGGAAAGCCCATCCTGATCTCACAAGACAAGGGGATACAAAGAAGAATCAGAACCAGGCCTCTCTCATTTCCCCCAGTTTACTGTGTTGCTGCCTCATGCCCCTTGGCCTATCATGTTCCTCCTTGACCATCCACTCTTAATCAAACCTACTGTAGAACACAGAGGGCGAACTGTTTTTCTGGGTCTTCATTTCTTATGAGGGCTCTCATATCATGTAAAATTTAATCAAGTTTGTGTGCTTTTTTCCTATTAATCTGTCTTTCTTAGTTTAAATTTCAGATCAGGGGCCCTGAGAGTGTAGAAAATGTTTGCCTCCTCTACAAGAGAAAGCATTCCATTTTGAAAAAAAAAAAAATGAATGGGGGGGGTGGGATTTGTTACATTAACTGTAACAGAGACCCAGGTAACACCAGCTTTCTCTCAGGGCTAATACGGTATGCCACAGGGCCAGAGAACTGGATTCTTTTACTTTTGTTCTACCATCCCTCAGGAGATATCTTCATCCACATGGTTCCAGAAGGCTCACAGTCACATCCTTGCTTCTCCAGTGAGCACACATGCCCAGGAGGGCTCATCAGTCCTGCTCACACCCCATTAGAGACTTGGCCCCACCTTCCATTCAAAGAGGCCACAGACTTGAGCAAATAATCCTGTGGAAGAAAAAGACAACAACCTATGCCACAAATTCCAAATAAGAGTAATTTCTGAAGATGAACGTGTTAATGAACCAACCATTTTAAATAGAAAATATTAGTGACCTGATATAAATGCAAGACAAAGAAATAACTGCTCACCCCAGCCCCTGTGAATTATGAGTTTAATTATTACTTTCATATTCCCTACAGGGTGATGATTATACAGTAGGTGCTGTACAGGTGTGACGTGAATCCATGAATGAATGAAAGAATGGATGAAGAATGAGTGAAAAGAGAACTGCCTAGCTTCTACTTCTGAGTTAATTGTACTATGGGACGTGTCTTCTTTATAGTATGAATATCTGGATAAGACATTTTTTAGCATTAGTACAAAATACATTAATACTAAAGATTCCCTTTGCATAGTCAGCCCTTCTCTGATCACACAGCTGCTGCTGTGTTATGAATCATCAACTACCATTCTAGTAAATAGCAAAATGTATTTTCTATTGCCAATGGTAGAATTAAGTGGCCAAACTGCTAAATTACCCTAATTCCAAGGACTTTTGTTTTTCACAGGTCCCTGAGGGCAGTCTTTTACTTGTTATCATGCTCTCACAAGAACATGAAGCCTAATAACTTGATCTTTCTGCTTTTTGGAGAACAGAAAAGTGAAAAGTTTTCAGTATTTCTTTTCAAAGCTCCCTGTCTTCACTTTATGAGAGGAACTTGGTATTGAGTTAGGGCAGGGACATGGACAAGCATTATGATTAACTTTTCCGGCCTATGACGAAAAATTTTGAGATCTAAATGGCATACTAAGAACAAGAGGGGCCCCATCTTAAGGCTAAGATGCCATTTTAAAAACCAGGGAGTTGGAAAGTAAGATTCCCAACATATTCTTCAGTAATCAGACAATACCCCACACAATCTTAAGGTAGGGCAATGTCTTAACTGATATGTTTGCAGTGCTTGAGGCTAACCACTATCATGGAGAGGAACAAGATCAAGAACTTCCTTGTGTTACATTTTTTCTTTTTAATTCATTTTGTTATCATTAATCTACAATTACATGAAGAACATTATGTTTACTAGACTCCCCCCTTCATCAAGTCCCCCCTAGAAACCCCATTACAGTCACTGTCCATCAGCATAGTAAGATGCTGTAAAATCACTACTTGTCTTCTCTGTGTTGCACAGCCCTCCCCATGCCCCCACACACATTATACATGCTAATCATAAAGCCCCCTTTCTTCTTCCCCGCCCTTATCCCTCCCTTCCCACCCATCCATCCCAATCCCTTTCCCTTTGGTAACTGTTAGTCCATTCTTGGGTTCTGTGATTCTGCTGCTGATTTGTTCCTTCAGTTTTTCTTTGTTCTTATATTCCACAGATGAGTGAAATCATTTGGTATTTGTCTTTCTCTGCTTTGCTTAATTTCACTGAGCATAATACCCTGTAGCTCCATCCATGTTGTTGAAAATGGTAGGATCTGTCTTCTTCTTGTGGCTGAGTAATATTCCATTGTGTATATGTACCAAATCTTCTTTATCCATTCATCTACTGATGGACACTTCGTTGCTTCCATTTCTTGCCTATTGTAAAAAGTGCTATGATAAACGTAGGGGTGCATCTGTCTTTTTCAAACTGGGCTGCTGCATTCTTAGAGTAAATTCCTAGAAGTGGAATTCCTGGGTCAAATGGTATTTCTATTTTGAGCTTTTTGAGGAACCTCCATACTGCTTTCCACAATGGTTAAACTAATTTAC